AAGAAGAACATGTTATATTTTGGGTATCGTTGAAGGTCATAAAATTTTAAATTTAGATTTCAATTCTCAAGCAACTGACCTAAACTAAATTTATTCACTCCACCGTTCCATTTGTGAAGATTATGATTATCACTGAATGTCCTCAACTAAAGTGTGATCTAATCAATTTTGCAACTTCATACACAAAAGATACCTTATCTTTTCAGCCCATATACATACCTCAATGTCTTGATTTTGTCTTCTTTGTCGTGGGATCATATTTGTTAATTATACCTCATCTTTTTTTATTTTTGAATCTATATTCTTTCCTATTCATCTCTTCCACCATGTGGCATTCTTTTGTTTCGGTTAAGCTAGTCTCCATTGTGCAATAAATTTCTAACATTCGAGTTTTAATACCATGTTCCTCTGTTTTACAATCCTCAATTTCATTATCAAGAGAATCTTGAAATTCTCCCTTAATGTTTTCATATCCCTTTAAGGAACATCTTCGAACTTAATCTTGATTTATAGAGCATAACTTTTTGTTAAACCACTTTTGATACAAAGGTTGTTATTAAACCGTTTAGAGAGCATAACAGTGCGATTGGTATTTCTTTGAGCATTTAAGAGAACAAATTTTCACTTGGGAAGTGGAATGGAGGGAAATGAGAATTTTGAGATAATTTTATTTCGCATGACCTTCATTGAGAACCTGATAAAAAGCTAGCAGATGCTTGACCTTGATCCTCTTACTTCTGTATAGACTTGAGTTCAATGGTAAATGTTAAACTTTTAGGGAATTTGAGTTTTCCTTATATGAAACATAACAACCCCTCTAAAATGAGTTTCTGAACCTTTAATCTTAAGGCCCCACAATTCTTTATAGAATGACTAAAAAACCAAGGTGATAACCACACAAATCCTTGTTTCCATACCAGCCCGGTCGCTGATAAACATTAGACCTTGGCAAAATTGGTGCTAGACGATGAATTTGGAAGAGGTAAGGTAATAAATCTGAATATGTCCCTGAGATCGGTACGATTGGTGCCTTCACATTTTCTGTCTTTTTTCTTAGCCCTTTTCACCAACGATTGAATTTCTTCTATGCCCATTTTCTTCAATTGGAGCTCATCTTTCATGAGAGAGCATACATCTTTTATTGTCCCTTTACCCAAAACTGGTTTAGCAATGCTTTTTTAGGATCATATCCCATTTTATCAGCTAACTTGAGTTACCTTTCTTTTTAACATACTCTTGATCATCCATTGATGTCATTTTGGCCCCACAACTAAAATTAAATTATCGTTCGAAGTCTTTACCTCTACGTGCACCATGAAACTCTCTAATGGCTTTTCCCTATGAATGAGAACAATCACCATATTTATCAATATTATCCATCAAATAGCCTTAAAACAAAGAGCATTTAGACTAAGAGTATCGATACTCGTTCATCGAGTATCGATACTGTAGGATAGTATCGATACTCAGGGGTAAAAGTATCCATACCAGATATAGATCATAAATTCTAGTGGTTAATTTTGGTATCGGTACTCATGGGAGTATCGATACCCTCATGGGAGTATTGATAGTGAGGGTAGGGTATCGATACTCCTACTAAGGATATCAATACTAAGACATTTTTCAAAACATCAAAGCAAAATTTGGTATCGATACTTAGGATAGTATTGATATCCTAGTTCAGAAGTATCGATACTCTATCTAAGAGTATCGATACTGGCTATCATTTTTAATTTTCAATAGCCATTTCAATGTCGATACCAAAGGGTGAGTATCAATACTCAGGGGTCAATACCGATACCGAAGGCCTTAGTATCGATGCTAACGTACAATTCTAGATAAGGGCTTAGTATAGGTACCAAATGGTTAAAAGGTTAGACTCGAGGGCCCCAATAACACCAGAACATCATGAAATAAAACTACAAGTAAGAACAGTAATAAATACAATAAAACTAGAAATAATAACAGCTGGGCTAACATAAAACTAGCCTTGCTTGATGCTCGAGGAACAGCCGGTACTCCTGAGTTACTTTAGCAGATGATGATCGTCTTGTTATATAGATGTTTGGATATGTCTCAGCTAGTGCCAAGGCACTTTATTCGCCAATTGGGCACAGATGCCCCAAGACTCGATGGAGTAAATTGGTCGAGTGTATGTTTTTGATGTAGTTCAGAATCTTACCCAGATACCCAAGGGTATCTTAGGTAGGCTAGAGGGGTGTGCGCCCCGATTTGCAAAACCTTAACCACACTATGATGCCTACATCAACATTTCAAGTCAACATCCTTAAGTGTTCTTACCTATGCCACTAGTATGCTCATGTAGTGAATGCATGTAGTACAATACAATTATTAGTGTGGCACTGAGCTCGTAAGCTCAGCGTTCGGAATGTGTTTCTGTGCGCAAGTTCTTAGGAGATCGTTCATGGAGCGTTATCGCCATCAGATATTCCAGATCAGCCTAGACTTCAGAGTACGTCTTAACTTTATTGGAGGGCATATACTATTCATAGACCGTTTTATATTCAGTCATAACTCTGTTTTATTTTAAACATGATATTATTATTGAGTTTCATTTTGGGAGCTCCTCATGTATTTGTAAACTCTGATTATTATGTTTTCATTTCATATTACTATGGATGATTTTTATATGATGTTTTACAATTGTTTTAAAAGAAAATTTTTGGGTTAGCCACTTCGGTGGTCCCGTGTGACACTTTAATCTTTTGATCTTTGGGTTAGACTGGATTAGGGTGTTACAAAATTGCAGTTGTATGGTACACGAAAATTTTAAATAGTCTGTAGTGATTACAGAGCATTATATGTTTATAATTTCTCTTTATCATTGACAACACACATACTTTACAAATGTATTTTTCGAACCCAAGACATCTAAAAAATAATACTTCCTTTAATCATTAAGATCACTTGATGGTTTTGTGAGACAATATTTTATTTTTTGGAAGATAATTTTTTTGATTAAATTGGGGTAATGATAAGATAATATATGTTTTAAAGATTTTAATTATTTGACAATGAATGCTCAAATACCTCTGCATAGATTGATACTCAATGCCTCTAATAAAAACAAATATTCTTTTAACCACTAAAATAGCTTAATTTGTGTTGAAAGAGACAATTAAATGGACAAAGAGACCAAAAATCTTATATTTACTTAAAATTACAATGTTTGGGCTTCATTCCTTAGATCCAAAGATGAGGCTGAGCTTACTAAAAAAACTGAGAGACTGAGCCGGAAAAGAGACAAAAGCTGAGACGTGTTTCTTTAGGCAAAAACTATCCAACATCTAAAAAATAAAAATCTTCCATTAATTAAAATGTTAAACAAATGGTTATAACTTATAGTTAGGTGGTCGGCAATGCATTTGTTAAACAAATGTTAAACAAATGGTTATAATAATAGGGGTAGGGCCAGAGGGGCATTTTAATTTTATTTGGTGCTTCGACTTTGGATTAAATATCTTGACTTCTTTATTACTGATTATTCTTAATCTCCGAACTTTCCCGATCTCTCTCTCTCTACTTTGCTTTCTGCTTTACTGCTGTTCCTCTTGCTAACTAAACCTAATGCTTAAAGCGCAAAAGACATATAATGGCAATCACGGAATTTATCCTTTACTTTTCTTATATATTTTCTAATAAGTGGTATTAATCCAAATCAATATTATTTTTTTAAAAATCGAACACATCAGTATAAAACAAAACAAATACAACATTCTGACTCTTATTAAAAAAATAAAATCAAACATAAATTAAATAAATAATTAAGAAATTGTTGTTATTTTTAAAAAATTCAAATTCTAATACATTTTTTTCATAAAAATATATAAATATAGATTGTTGATTAAATTGGAAGGAGGTGGAGTTTTAAAGTGGGCAACTATCATGGATTCAAGTGGGGTTTCCTGTTAAACTTACATGTCGCCCCCTTCTCCCATTCAATGCTAATGCTCTCCCACCCAATTCAACAGGCGGAGCAATCGATTTCTTTTATCCATTTTTTTAAAAATAAAATCAATTATAATTTGATCGTTTTTATACTTTAATTTCATATAATCAAATTGATAATCGATCTTATAATTAAAAATTAATTACACGAACCAAGTTACCTCAATGATTAAAATGATGATTTTTGTACTAGAGGTCTCAAGTTCGAATACTAATTTATGCAAACAGGGGTGTTCGAATATTATTATCAAATGATTTAGAATCATTAGAACATATATTACTCTTGTAATCACCTCACTTTAATAATAATAATAATAATAACTTAATCAAACTGAAACCATTCAATCAAAAGAATAAATTTAACAATTTAAGCCAACAAATGGCCAGCCCTTCAATTGAACCATGTCAAGACCAATGCTTATTAATTTAATCCCCATCGGCTCAGTGTTCTTTAAACAACTACATGTGTAGGTGCACATGTATTATTAGAAATTAAAAAAAATTATGGATAAATATTAGATTATATTCACTCTAGTTATTGGGGAGAAAAAGTCCCCATCACCCTTTGCCCGTTGGTTTTAGTTATGTTTGCAAGTTAGCCGTGAGAATGTTGAGTTTCTCATGTGAGGAGGAACTCGGTTTTTATTTAAAAAAAATTGAGCATTTAACATGTGTAATATTCGAAACATAGAATGTGAAGTAAAAAGGGCTTTGTTAAACCAATACATATCTCCCAATTGGCAAAAACGATTCTTTCTTTTCTCCTTTCAGATCTCTTACAAACAACTTTTCTAAACTTGTCAGTCCAAATGCATCCCCACAACTCGGAATTACATGAAACAAATTTCTTGCTTAGAGCCATTTAACGAACAAGAATGGAAGAAAAAGAATCGATATCCCATTCTTTGCCCCCAATAAATTAGAAGTAGTAATTCTTTTTTTTTTTTTTTTATGATTAAGGTTACGACATTTTAACTGTCTTGCTGTTGTTGCCAACCATAACATATCCCACAAAACAGAACAAAAACAAGTACCCTAACAACTCGAGTCAATCAGTCTCGGAAACTAAAATATAGAAACTCAATCAACACAATTAATTAACATTAACAATTTCCTTCATTAAAACCGTCCTCCATACTATCCACTTTTCTTCTACCTTCACCTCACGGCGGATCCTCCTCTTGCTTCCTCACTACCGGCGGCGGATACACCACGTTTCTCCATGCTCATCTGATGATGAAACCCACCCGAGCCGTAAACGTGACCTTGGTGATGACCCATCATCATCATCATCCCTCCGTACATCCCTCCTCCGTTATACCCGCCGCCGCCCGGACCTACTCCACCCCCACCGGAACCCCCTCCACCGCCGGTTCCACCTGCCCCGCCGGATGAACCACCGCTGGCGCCATCCTTTTCTCCCCTTCCCATGTTGCTCTTCTCGCCTTCCATCTCCCTATACTTCTGCAAATAAATCTTCAGGGGCTCCACGTATTCCTCGAAGCCGAGCGTCGTCATGGCCCAGAGCAAATCGTCCCCGTTAATGGTCTTCCGCTTTTCGCGCTGGCACTTGTCGGAAGCTTCCCCGGTGATGAAACTGATGAACTCGGAAACGCATTCCTGGACAGTTTCTTTGGCGTCTTTGGAGATCTTGGCGTTCGCCGGCAACGCCTTTTTCATGATCCTGCTCACGTTGGCGATCGGAAGGAACCTGTCTTGTTCACGCGCCGACGTCTCGCTGTGGGCGTTGCCTCCGCTGTTGTTAGGTTCCCCCGATTCATTGTCCGAGTCCGCCATCAATAAAAAGACCAAATCCCAGACAACTTGTTCTATATATTAACGGAGAAATAGGGGGTTTTGGTGGGGTTAGAATTGGGAATTCACGATAATCGTTGTCGCTAGTCGGAATGGAAGAACGGGTTCCGTAGAAAGAGGAAGGGAGTGTCGAGAGAGATTGTTTGGGTCCGTTGGATAGATGGGATAATAATGCCTCGGGGATGACACGTGGTTGGTTTTGAACCGTTTGTTTAACGATAAGAGTGGACTCCGGAAATGGAATCCTGATCGTTGGATTTTTCTCTGGGACCCGGAATCTGTAGGTTTGTGAACGAAACACGTGGTGGAGGAAATGGAGGAGAGTGCGTTTTTTGCTTTTTAGGAGCACGAGGGAATCTTTAGGCGGCTCGGCGATTTTGGCTGGCCGAGCTGAACCCAGCTGCCAATGCCAACTCACCATCATCATCCTCTCCCTCTGTACACGTGGCATTTGGTGAGCCTTTGACGTTTCATACGCGTGATTGCGGGACTGTCCAAATTTTCAGTGCTCCATTCTCCCATATTTCATGCCAACTCTTTCATCGTTCTTTTGTTTATTTTCACCCACTAAATAAATTTTTTCCACTAGATAGGTTAAGTTTAAATAATGATGTTAAAAAATTTTGGATGTATTGGCAATGTTTAGTTATCATTTAGAAAATTTAGACTCGTTGATTGGACTAAACAAGTTGTAGTTATAGACGGTTTACTCCTTTTGATATGGATAAATAATTGTAGTCGATAAAGAATCAATTATTGGCTGGTATTCAATATCAATATTTTATGTTTCCATAGGGAGGTAGAGAAGTGAATGAGGGTGAAGTGATTCCATTAAGGTCGCATCTCGTTCGTCACTTATATTAGATATGTTTTACTGTGACCCTTATCGTGTGTTTGTTTTAGAGTCATAATGACTACCTGTAAGCCAATATGCTAAATGGATATAATGCTAAATGGATATAGTCAGGTGAATGAATTTGACTTTGGTAAATCACGTAGGTATGTCAGAGATTATGTTAATAAATCGTGGCTTCCCGAGTGATGTTTGATACTCGAGGTCTTTTTTCCAAAGATGTTCTCTTTATTTATTTTAGAATTCCCTAAATGTTGAAGGTTCAGAGATGTTTTAGGATCTTCTGATGGTTGATGAGCTAGAATGGTGTGCGTGGAGGACCATTTAGTGGGGGTACAACAGTTGTCATCCCTTAGTCGAGGAAAACACATAAATTGATTTGATATGAGACCTAAATGTTAGTGTTATTAGACTTTAAAGGGCCATTTTTAATAGAATTTTCGTAATTATTACTTCTCGAACGATTTGGATGTTTGAATGTGCTATGTCTTGTGTTTGTCACGATGGATTAATGCGTTTGTTTCGACTGTTGAAATCATATCGTTTCACCTGATTATATAAGGATAGTTTGGGGTGACGATTATAGTTCTCCTTTTGTTGCTTTTTGCATCGCGGGATTGTATGTAACTTCCATTTAAATTTGCTTTTGTGATGATGGAAAAGAAAGTTGTTAAGGAAAAGAAAGTTCGAGTTGACAATGTGACAGAAAGACATAAAGAGAAGGCTTTAAATGTGATGATTCGAAGGTCACCTCCCGTTAAGGATAACGAAGAGAAGTTGACTGATGAGTCCTTTATAAAAGTTCAAAGTTTAGAGGGTGAAGGAAATAAACGCGAGGGTAGCTTGGTTTGCATATTTCAAGTTGGACTAAATTCCAAAGACACTTCATAGTAGAATCTTTAGTATTTTAGGGATGTTCTGATTAATTCGGTCACAGTTTTTCTCCGGTTCCATATATAAACTTTTAGGCGAAAAAATCTATACTCCTTTATAAACTTACTCGCGTTGGTAGCCTGAGCGTGATATTTGTTTAAATGCACGTTTATGGACTTTACGGAGTTATCTCGGAAGCATCTACCGATGCATGAATATCAAATAATTTTTTGGTGCCTTTGTTTTTTTGGTTTTGTTTTCTTTTTGTTGCGGAGAACACTTCTTCCTTCGTTTTAGTTGAACTAAACTTGGTGGAGTTGTCTCCATGTCTGCATATTGTAGACACTAATTTTCGTCCATATTTTTTTATTATTATTTTATACATATATACCTATATATATTATATGGTTTGCAAACGGTTTTTGAAAATATATATATAATATATAGTTTTTAAAAAGAAAACATTTTGAAAATATGGGTAATATATAGTTTTTTAAAAATATTTTTGCAAACTATATAACATATAGTTTTTAAAACATTTTTGAAAATTATATAACATATATTTTTGAAATCATTTTGAAAAAATAATGTATAGTTTAAAATAAAAACATTTTTTGAAAATTTTATATAATATATAGTTTTAAAAATATTTTGGAAAACTCATATAATATTTTTAAAATCATTTTTGAAAACTATATGGAATATAGTTTTGAAAACATTTTTAAATATAATATATAGTTTAAAAAATATTTTTTGAGATATATATATTTATATAGTCTATATTATTATTAGTATTTTTATTATTTCTTTTCATTTTATTCACTTTATTCATTTAATTTCATTTATTCTGTTTTATGGTCCAGGTCCAAAGATTGGGTCTAAGATCTGTCCAAGTCCAGGGTCCAACATTGGGCCTGATCCAGCCCGGTTAGGTTTAGGGTTTTCACAACCCTAACATCAGCCTTGTCACAGCGCCACATAGGAGGTTCCAGAAGCATGGAGCCAAGCAGTCAACGCCCAGCGCACATTCCGGCCGCACCAACGGGACTGAACCATCCCGAGGCGGCCGGTACCATGAACTGGAAGATCGGAACGAGCAACAACCCACATCCCGTTATTTTCGGGAGCCAAACAACCAACACCGGGGCTATAAAAAGCCCCCGGTGAGGCCGACAGGGGGAAGCCACGAACACAGTTCACCGAACCTCAACAAGATCGGAGTAAACCAAGACTCACGAAAATCATCAGTCACAAAAAACCCAAGAGCCGGTCACAACAAGGCCAACAGTACCAAAACACATCATAAGCCGAAACGTCAGATACAAAAACCCATCAGACACAGTCGAAACCAAAAGAAAAACAACAGCTCACAGTAAACCAAGCACACAGAAAAAAACAAACAGAGAGCCATCACAAACAAATCGGACGAGAATCCACGAGAACAGTAAACGAGAACACAAGAACAAGGCAAAAACAGAAGCATCAACCGTGAAACCAAACCACAATAGCCAACACCAAAACGCCAAAATACAACAAATAAAGAGCAAGCACCGGGTAGACGAAGGGCCGCGCCGGAAAAGGTAAAAGTTGAATGGGTTTTCCTTAGATCTACGCGATTTGGGTTTGGTTACGGTGATTCGGGGCTCGGATCTGACCTAAGGGTAACAAGGGGAACACTTTGGTGGTTTTGGGTTCTTTCCGGCCGTCGGCAGTGGCGGCCGGAGCGACGGAGCGACGACTGTTGACCATCGGCGGTGGCGGCCGAACCTTGGCCGGGTTAGAGAGAGTTGAGAGAACAGATGGTTCTCTCTTTGGGTAGAGAATGAAGAGAACGAAACGAAATTAAGCTGGGTTGTATATTTATATACCAGGGGCCTCTTTGCAATTAGAAGTTTTTTTAATTCTCTCCGCAGTCCCTGTATGTTTGAATCGCTTTACAATCTGGTCACCGTATGCAATTTGACCTCTGAATTTTTGATTTATTCAATTCAGTCCCTACTTTTAATTTACATTGTTTTGCAATTTGGCCCCCTTACTTTTTTATTTTGCAGTTTATTTTTAGTACCTGGTTAACCCATCCATTTTAATTTGTTATAATTTAGTCCTCGAATTTTTTTTTCTCTTTTTTAATTTTAGCATTTTTTTTAATTATTCATTTTTACCTTAATTTTAGTGTATTTTTATTCCTTTTCTTATTTTTAATTTATCACTTTTAAAATCTAGCATTTGTATTATTTTTTTTCCTTCCTTTTATTTATTCAATATTTATTTATTTTTTTTCTTTCCCCTAACATTTTTGACTTTGTAGAGAAATTTCAATTGATCAAAGGTGAGTAATTCGAATCGAGTAATTTAAATTTAAATTTAAATTTTCTATTTTTCGCTATAACGACAACCGGAAAATTAATCGGTACCGAAAGGGCGGTTCAAGGGTGCTAATCCTTCCTTGACCGTAATCGACTCCCGAACCCGACACGTTTCTGGTACAACGCAGATCAGATAAGATGGTGTCCGACCCACCTAAATTCGTTTTAAAGTGGTCGGTGGCGACTCCAACCCAATTAATCTAAGTCGAAGCCCAATTCCGGGGCCCAACCGGAAAGACGGTTACGACAGCTTGGCGACTCCACGGGGGACAGGTAAGTGAGTCAGGCCAGAATTAATTTTCGGTTGTCTTTTTATGCGAAAATGGTAAATTTAAATTTTAATTTATTTATTCGATTCAAATTAGTTACCTTTGATTATTTTTTTTCAAATAAATAGTTGTACTGACATTTTTTTCAATGGTTTCAGATTTTTTTTAAAAAAAGTTTCCATCTCTAGCTCTAAACCCGAGCTCCGAACCCGTTTTAAGTGGGGGTGAAAGCGACGCATTCGTGTGAATTTATTCACCGCATATGCCTAGCAAGTAGCCTTCGGGATTCATATACCTTATGTCTTCGTGTGAATTTATTCACCGTGCGGGCATAAGGGAATGTGTCCTCTCGAGTTTAACTTAGTCCATATGAGCTTGTAATAGGCTTAGGACTAAGGGTCTGGTAAGCCCAAGGGGGCACCGGCAAGGAGAACTCGAGTACCGTTTTTTAGAACCTAAACCGGGAGAGTACAGGGAATTAGAGCCCACCCCAAGACCTCATTCCAAACCCTAGGATTCTTTGTTTCCTGCTTTATTTTCTGTTCAAAGCATGCGAACTAGACAAATATGCGGTTAGGATTTGTTTGAAATTAGCATGCGGGATAGAAATCATGTCTGTGTAGGAATATTAAGCATGTTCGGGTAGATTATCATGTGGGGTATGATTTTTTTTTATTTTATTTTATTTATTTTATTTTTTTTATTTTGATTTACCTCACTAACCCCTTTTATTTTTTGTTCTATTTCATTTTGTTTTCATCATTCGCATAATTTAAAACGAGGTGTTGATCCACCAAAAATGTGTTTGTTAAACATGAATAATCTGTATTAATGGACAAAGGGATTATAATACAAAGAGATAAAAAGCTCAGAAGTCTAGCCGTGGTCAA